GCATGAATAATAGCCTCCACCCGAATGGAAAATGCTAAGCACATTTTACGTTAAAGGGAAAATCTTTAGTTCCGTCAAAACTCGAATGTACCCGCAAGTTTCACTCTATTGATCTTTATTAACTTCAGATTACAGGGGTGACTAGCTCAGGAATGATTATTAATTGCTGTTTCAGTGCTTTTAAAGTTGCCACTAGCCGTAACTAAATAGATCTTATATAACAAATTAATAATGTGAATTCCTAAGGGAAGACACCTTTTTAACTACATCCTGAAGTTATATCCACCCGCTTTTATGCAGGCCTACTGCGATATGACAGGAAGCTCAGGTGGATGGACACTCATTGCTCGGTTTTCAAACGCAGATGGGAAGAATTGGATGAGAGATGACGCATACTGGTGGTACGACATCCTGTCCTCACAGGGGTCCCCCACAAGCGCGTCCACTAACTCTGACATGATATCAGAAGCATTCTGGAAGGTTAAAGGAAGTGAGATTAAAATCACTCGCAATGACGATAGTTCACACTCTGCTCTTCTTCGTACATACACAAACTGCTTTGGTGGAAAAACATTTAGAGGATATATGTCCTCATATGGAAAGTTTAGTTACCGTAATGTTTGGTCCAATAATCGGTGTCTTGACAGCTGCCCAGTGTATTATGGTGGATCGTACCAGTTCACTGTTGGCTTTACTCAAGCACACTGCAGTAGTAATATTCAAGGAAGCTACCGCATTGGATTCTGGTGTCAGTGGAGTCATGGTGATGGTTCAGTTCTTATGTTTGGAGGAGGAGGGAGTGGATGCAGCCGAGCGGATCATGGTATCGGGATCACTGAGAACAACTACGGAGGATTTGAAGAATGGGAGGATAGTGGGGAGATTGATTTTGGAGATGAAGCCAACAACCACAACTCGCCTACTACTTCTTATGCCTTAAATTTATGGATTCGTTAGAAGAAAAAGAACTCATCGCTGATCTTAATCCACGTGTGATAACATCACATGAACAAACAAAATCCTGTTTTCCGAAGGCCTTTTTTAACTAGTTGAGCGAAAAGGAAACCTAACCTGGCTCTTTCCCTTTCTGATTATTTAACAATTATTCCATGAGCGGGCGTTTATCACGAGATGGTAAACAGCCAGAAAGACGCGTAGCGTCGAGTTGGTTTTTTAACTAATTTCGTATCCAACAAGTACGAATAGAATAATTGTTCTTTTTTTTTTCAATTTTCCACACAATAGGCTAACAGATGTCAGTGTCCTAGAGTTGCGTATTATACGTGATTAAATGTAGACGTTTTCATTAGGACGGATGTATGATGGAAAGTTAGATCGATTAACTATGCAACAATTAAGAGGCTTGGTACCCGGAAGACAAAGCAACGTCAGTCGCCTGCTTTTGTTTGTTATTTGCGTCAAAATTATACTTCTTCTAATCTAGGACTAAATTGCCAATTCTTGACTACTAAACAGAAAAAAGGTATACCAGATTTTACCCCGTCAGAGCTATTTTTTTATGTAATTATTTTCAACAAGAACGTTTATGTTACTCTAACTTATAATTTTCGCAGCTTAGTTATATTTTGATCTTCTGGTTTTTTTTTTTTATGGAAGTTTCTTCTTTGTTGTATGGCACACAGTGTCTTTATGTAGAACATCCGTCTCAAAGGAGGTAAGCGAAAGGCCAAATTGCTACCCAAAAAGCCTTTAATAAAGTTTTGTAGTTTCAGAAGCATCCAAAAAATTCTAACGAAGCACAACGCTTGTTATTCACATCGAGCAATCCTGCATTTACTCATACAGTGGGCAAAGCGCGCGACAGAGAATATCATACAATTAACTAAGTATATGAGCGTAGTCAAGTTTTTCTGGCACTTAAGGACAGTGTGATAGGTGTTCGCAGATAAATCTTGGAAAATGATCAGACAGTTAAAAAATCCTTTGCATTACTAATTATAAGCTGAATCGCAATTTTCCCCTCGAGGTTTGGCGCTTGAATAATAAATTATCTGATAATGAACACATGATTTAAAACAAGAGCTCAATCTATCGCCAATAACTCTTCAATTAGAGTTGAAAAGTAAAAGTGTTTGAGTTAAAAGTGCCGGTTTCTCGTTGAAGATTCTTTTAAGTATCGAAGAATTTTTATATCATAATTTTTGCATGGTAATTTTAAATTGGGGTGACTGTCTTTTTATCTATTGCAACAGTTCAAAGCCATTCAAAAATTTAGTTTCCATGAGTAATATGCTTTTCTACCACAAAAAACTTGTCTTTCGTGGTTAAAAAAGTCAAAATTCCCTTAGAAAATTTATAACTATTTTCATATAGTCGCGAACCCTCTACTAACTCTACTTATTAAGAGTCTTTATTCATTCATTCATTCATGTAGTCACAGCATACGTGTGACTTTACAAACAATTAATTTAAGTACAATTATATAAAATTAAAAAGACACATATCTCTGTTTCTTTGGAGGTAATAGTTCATAAAGGGGGTGGGAAGGAGTATCTGTGATAATTTTCCATAGCTTACTGTCTCGGTTTCTTATAACTTCAGCTATTAAATACAGGTTTTTGGTGTAACCAAACCTAAACGCTTGCTTAAAAAAACCTGTCAATGCGATCAAGGTATTTACTTTGATATGCCGCTCCCCAAAT